ACCCCTTACAGCTGCCTGGGACCACTGGGCCAGAGCTGCCCTCTGGTCCCTGCCAGCTCTGTGACCATGAGTCTGTCACAAGACGTTCAGTCACAGTCTGTTACACCAGGGAGACCAGCTCCTGCCTGAGAGCCAGGTGAGTACACACACACACACACACACACACACACACACACACCCATCTCTGTCATTGTCACTGCTCCCATGCCCTCTTAGAGTCTTCTCTGTTTATGCCTCCCACCACCCCCTGCCGAGACTCTAGGGGCCAAGACCCCTCATTAGACCCCTGTCTTCCCAGGGTCCTGGCTGGAGGTGGGCTGCTTGGTATTTGGTTTGTTTCTTTGTTTGTGTCCTTCAAGATGGGATCTTCTCCCCACCAGGGGCAGGAGCACAAGGCCTCATTTCCTTCCAGTTTGGAACTTTCCAGAAGGCTGGTCTGGAGAACAAAGGGGTGATCTTGCCTCCCTGCCTTCAGCTCAAACCGGCCCCAGACACCCTGGTGGCTCACCTGATGGAGCATCTGGAATGTGGAGATCATGGTGGTGGTGGGGTACTGATTCTGGGTGAGGAGCCATGGCCAGAAGACATGTTGACTGCTACCCCGGGCATGGCCCAGGCTGGCCTGGGCACCCTACCTGCCACCTGGACTTGACACCTGTGTGCCCTGTGCAGAGAAGGAGCCACATCTCACACACACCATGGCCTTGACCACCTGGGCCTCACAGAGAGACAGGAAGCTCACAGACACATGGCCCTGCTGAGGCATCTTGGGCTACACCCCTGGACACGCCACAGAGAGGTAGGGGTCCCAACATGGGCTCCCGTGGTCCCCCATCCTGCAGCATCTACATGTCTGTTTCCATCTGTCCAGCTGGAATGAGGGTGGTCTCTGTCCAGCACACACACACAAACTTATGTATATGCACACACATGCACAAACGTGAAAGTACACACCAGCACCCCAAACATGTGCACACACATACACCCAAACATCTATGCTTGCACACATGCACCTGCATGTGCAGACATGTACCTATGCAGTAAGACACACATGCATGCACATACATGTGCATACACAGCCATGTGTAAATATACACAAATATGTGCACGCATATATGCACACGTGTGCAAACCCAAGCACACACATACACATGTGTGCCGGTGTGTGCCATGCACATGCACACACACAGATGACTATACACGCACATGCACACATGGCCAGATGAGGGTCTCTGCCCTTCATGATCCCTGCTTGCTTCTTACACACCACAATCAGGTTTGGCCTCTCCTCTGGACAGCCCATCTTGGGGGGGAGGGGCACCTAAATCAGCTCCTACTAGCCCCTGCAACCTGGGCCACCAGGCTAACCCACCCAGTGAGGGTCCCATTGGCCCACGGGTGGCGTTCAAGCAGCATCAGGGTCCCTGCCCTACTCAGTGACCTTACACAAGGTGTGTCACCCTATGGGGTCTTTGCCCTGCTGCCCACTCCCCACTGTGGATGGTGTCCCAGAGGATTAACCAGAGGACACTACCCCAAGGCAGGAGAGACTCCCTTCCAATGTCACCCCCCACTCAGCCCTGGGCCCTGGAGGTGGAAATGGAGGGGTCACCCAAGGGTAGAGACCAGGACTGGGTGCTCTCAGGCCAAATTTGAATCTAGCTCCCAAGCACACTGGCTCCCAGGCATAGGAAGGCTCAGTCAGTTTCCCATGACCAGCACGCCCCACTCCAGGTCACCAGCCTCCACCCATCAGCCCTTGCTGAGACACACCCCCCCCAACAACCTGGCCTTGGAGCCCCCAGTCTGGCCCTTCATGTAAACCAAAGACCCACGAGGCGCCCCACTGAGTGCATAGGAACTGTGGGTCCTGCGAGTGACACGGAAATGCCGGTCCCCTTATCCCACTGCTTGTCTCCCTTCCTTACCGCCTTAGTCCCCTGCCCTCCTCTACCCCTCCCCTCCCGCAGACCCCCTCTCTTCTTCACCCCCATTATGCACCCCACTGGCATGCCCCCCCCCCATCCCTCCGGCTGCCATCCATCAGCGCTGACTCAGAGCAACCCCCTGTGGGTTTCTCAGACTGTAACTGTCTATGGGAGTAGAAAGCCCTCTTCCTCCCTTGGAGCTGCTGGTGGTTTTGAACTGCCGACCGTGCGTATTGCAGCCCAGCGTGTAGACATGATCCCATCAGGGCTCCTCCCTGAGCCCCTAACCAGGAAGAAAAGTTTGCTCGTAGCTCCCAAAGGGCCCGGTGAACCACTCTGACCGTTTGGCTGTGTTGCATCCCGCTCTGCCTCTGTGTGCTGGCTAGGCCATCCTGTGCAGGGGTCCTGGCTGGCATCCCAGCAGCCATCACAGCCACAGCGTTGCCCCACCCCCCCACCCTCCCCACCATTATCATTCCAGAGCTGAAACCCACCGGCGTGGGCTCCTCCGCCGTCCAGCAGCCCCGGATGACTCGTCCCTTCCTCACCCTGCCATTTTCTGTCCAATTAATTCTTTTGTGTGCACCGGATAGCGAGGACAAAGACGCCCAATATCGCCTCCCAGCCTGGCCCCACACCAGCAACAGCAGCCCTCTGCTCTCGGGCCCGCACCCTTAACCCTTTGCAAGTCCCAGAGCTGGGTGAGGCGCGAGGCTGTAACGGGCAAGGGGGCTCGAGTGGCCGCCAGGGCTGTCCCCAGGGAGAACCCTGCTTACAAGTGAGGGACTTTGGGAAGGACTCAGGTGGGGCTGTGTCCTTCAGAAAATGTGCCCCATTTAGGAATTCCCGGGTGTCCCCTGCTGCCTCGGGTGAGCCCACAGATCCCTGTGAATTCAGCAGGGGCAAGGGGACTGTGGGGTCCCAGGGGCAGGAGGTGGCCATGCCGCAGCAGCCACCCCAAACCCCTCAGCTCATCCTCCAGGCAGTTCAAGGGGGCTGGCCTGTGGTCACGAGGGAAACTGAGGCATGGAAAACTCAATTGAGCGTCCAACCCTCCTGGGGGCTCCAAGGGTGCCAGCCACAGCAGGAGGGGGTCCCAGAACAGGAATGGCCAGTTTCCCCTTCCTGGAGAATACCTCTCAGCTGTGAGTCACTGCCCTGCCCCGCCTTGTGCTGCTGCTCCAAGTGGCCGCAGGTCACAGTCTTTCCTATGAACAGGGAAACAGCTCAGTCCCCAAGGTGGAGTGACCCTCTGCCCTGGCCCCACATGGGATGCCCCAACTCAGCCCTATCGAGAGGACAGGGCACAGGCAGGGGAGGTGTGAAGGAGCTGACCGAGAGCCTCCCCTCCTCACTCGGCTCTTCCCGATGGCGAACCAAGAGGCCACCCACGTGAGGCCTGAGGTGGGGCCACTGGACATGCCCCTTGGCACGGGCCAACAGAGGCTGAGCAGCCTGTCCCCCTCCCAAGCACCCACCCTACAGTGGCCTCCCCTCTGGAGAAATTGAGGTTATGTAGGCTAAGGCTGCTTCCTTGTGGGGCTTGGCTGGGGGCCCAGGAGTACTTGACTGTCATGGGAAAAGATGAGTGGGGGAGGAACAGAAAGGATCAGGCCCAACCCAGTTTGAGGAGTTTGAATGTGCCCCCTCCCTGGAGTTCCTCAGAGCTCAAAAATGGGAGTCCCAGGGAGGTTAACCAGCATCCAGGGTAGCAGGGGGGAATCCTGTGGGCATCAGGAAAAGCCCAGACCCCCAGGAGTTAACCGTGGGCACCCTACCAAGCACAGCCAGTCTGGTGGGGCCTCTGGGTCCTTGGGAACCTGGCATGGCCACGGCACACTCAGTGCTGCAGAAAGGAGGCCGAGCTGGCCCTGGCTAGCCTGGCACAGAGGGTCAGTGCCCGGGGCCACGTGGGCCTGGCCAGCCCCGGGCTGGGTGTGGAACAGGCTGCACGGCTCCACACAGCAGGCCTGTGCCCAGCTTTCGGCAGCCCTGTCCCCAGACTGACTTGGCACAGCACTGCCCCGGGGAGGTTGGTCAGTCGGGCAGCACTTCCCAATGGGGGCTCCTGACAGCCTGGATGTGGCTGCCCAAGGGCCGAGGGGCAGGGCCTGGAGGGCAGCCACGCTGGTGCTGGCAGGCAAGGGTAGGGGGGGACCCTCTACCCGGCCACCCCTCTAGATTGCAGATGCCACCATCTCAGGAAGGCTCCTTCTCCTCCCACCCGCTGAGAGGCCTGAGGAAGCCCCCCTCCCCCCCCACCGCACCCCTGCGGCCTGGCAGGGGACAAGGCCGCCTCCCCACAGTCATTTTCTCCCTAGAAACTCTTTGTGCCAAGCAGACAAATCCGCAGGGTCCCTGCAGGGCTTTCAGGCAGCTCCCGGCTGGCCCAATGCCAGGACCCGAAAAACGTAGCCAGCTCCCCGCACAGCACTGCCACCCAGAAAGAGACTGGCTCCCGGGCCCTGCCAGGGGGGTGGGGGGGAACCCGGCCTGGACCTGCTCCATCTAGATCTGCTCTGCTATTGGAGGGCCCCCCCAACTAGGGAGATGCATCACCCTGCTTCTTAGAGCATCTGGAAAGGTGGTCACATTGGCGTGGGGGAGAGCTTGGCCACCCTCCCTGGGGCCAGGGAGCTACCCCCGCCCTCATGGGTGACTGGTGTTCAGATACGGCGCCGTCCTCTTGAGAATTGTGGCCAGCCCTCTGCCAGCTCAGGGGGAGTTTAGGGTTAAACCAGGAAGCTGTAAGAAACCCTTGGCAGAGCTAACGCCATAGCCTAATCCCTTCCAAACGGGACCCCACGGCCCCTCTTCCCCAGCCAGGCTGGGGGGCGGGGTTGTGGAGCAGAAATCGGGCAAGAGAAGAGCAAGGCACAACACGGAGCCACGTCGCTAAAAAGCATTTCTCCTTTTAATCTTTATCAAATGGTCTGTACAAAAGTTAGCACGGCTTGGTCAGGAAGGAGGGAGACACAACGGGGGGGCGGGGGGAGACAGCCAGAGTCACCCCAAAGCTCCATGCAGAAAAATAGACCACATGGAAAACAAACGAGTCTGCGGCCCCTGCCCACCTCCCCCTCGCCCACCTGTTGGCCTCCCCTCCCCAAGAGAGAATTACGAGAAAGCAACAACGTAAAAAAATGTGTGGAGGTGGGGGATGTGTGTGTGTGTTCATTGTTGTTGTTGTTGTTGTTGTTTTAGGGAAGGGGAAAAAAAGGTGGGAACAAATAGAAAAAGTCCAAAGGAGGAGCCACCTCTCCCGTGTTTAAATGTACAAAGGTTTCAAGGCACAGTTATCTGTGAAGGAGGTGGTTATCGCAAGCTCCATTTCCGGTGCAGGCGGTACGTGAGACTCGGGTACTGTCCATCCAACAGCTAGGGAAAGGAGGAGCCTGTTCAGTGGGGGATGCTATCGTTTCACAGCTTGGTAAGTGGCGCCTGGCTCCGAAACACTCCGGTGAGGGTTCTCTGTGGCCACCCTTCCCCAGACAAGCGGGTCTGGGGGCCTCTTGGTGGGGGCCTGCACAAGGCCTACCTCGCTGAGGTCATGCCCCCAGCCTCCGAGGTCCTGAAGGGGCTGCGGCATGAGCCCAGCTCCCGGGGGACTTGCCCAGAGGCGTGGGTGCCACCCCCACCTTCCAGTCCAGCTACCAGCTCCTACTCGTTTGCACGAACGACTTTGTTCATTAATAGAAACAAAAGACAGAGCAGAGATACATTTCTAACAGCGTCCAAGGCGCACCAAGCACTTCGAAGCTTCCAAGAATTGGGGTTTTTTGTATTTTTTTTGAAACAACAGAAACAGAAAGGAGTGTTGAGCACAACCAAACCTTGCTTGGGAGAGCCGTGGCGACAACAGCCACTGTCGTCCCCGGGATGCTTGCCACTGGGCAGATCCGTCGCCACGGTAACACCGTCTGCCAGTCCCAGAGACTCCAGGGACCTCCAAACGGACTCTTGGATACACCGTGTCCCCACATCAACCCAGATGCAAAGCCAACAAGCTGGTGTCCCAGGTCCTCGAGGGGCGACGACCAGGTGGCCATCCTTCATCTTCTGCCACCTCCGAGAGCTGAGGACAGAGGGGCCGGACCTCAGGAGCCTGGAGCACGGGGGTGGGGTGGGGTGGGGGTGTCTCTGAGATTCCAGCAGCTGCCTCCCCCACCCTCCACCCCCCAGCCCTCGTAAGCCAGGGTCATCCCAAAGACGCCTCACCAGACAGTTTTTCCTGGTCAAGAAAGGGTCCCACTCCCTCCCCAGTTCTCTCTTCACCTCGGTCAGCAGTAGGGGAGCCCCTCAGGGCCGGGTCAGTGTAGTGTACACAGGCTGCTCCCAGTTACTGGTGGGGCTGTGGGCGGTGGGCACGGACAAGCCATTGAGCAGGGGCGAGGCGTAGGGCCGGCGGGAGGAGTGGAAGTAGGGGTACTGGTACAGGCTGGACGGGTAGCCAGGGTACGTGCCGTAGTAGCCAGAGGCCTGCAGGTCGGTGTAGTCGCACTGGGAGCCCGAGAAGGAGCCGGTGGCCACCCCGGGGGCCGCCGTGGCCACACAGGCCTGCGCACTGTAAGAGCCGAATTCGGCACGGCCCGGCGAGCTGCTGTGGGCCTGGTCACTGTAGTGGCTTGGGCTCAGCTGCTCTGTCTTGATGTGGGGCCTCTGGGCGCCCGCCTCGGTGGGCGATGCAGAGGCCGACGAGGGCCCCTTGTGCGCCCATACTGGGGAAGCCCCCAGGCCGGCCGCCCCTGCGGGTGAATAGGAGGCGCTGCTGAAGGAGCTGGCAGCCGCCTGGCTGGGCTCAGCAGCCAAGACCGAGTGGCCGTTGAGCGGCAGGTACTGGTCGAACTCGTGGACGTCGAAGGCGTCCATGTTGCTAATAACTTCGCTGCTTAGCTCTGAGATGTCCACGTTGCTGAAGTCGATGTTCTGGCGGCCACCGTCCACCACGCGGCGGCCCTCCAGCTTCAGCTCCTGTTTGCTGCTGCCCCCACCCCCGCCTGGGTGGTGCGGATCTGTCTTGGGGGTGGTGGGCGGGGTGGGCGGCCCGTGGGTCTGCCCTGGGGAGAGAGCACGTCCAGGAATGAATGACCCTTCTGTGGGGGGCGGGTGGGGCCTGCCCAGCCGGCGGCAGCGGCAGCCAAGCTGACCGCCGCAGGTAGGGATCAACGGCTTTTTGTTCCCATTGCCGAGATCCCAGCCAAGCCAGACCCAGAAAATTCCACGTCGTGCCCTGCTCTGGGAAGACTAATGGCCTGGACCAGGAGACAGAGGTGGGCTGGGGAAGGCAGCAGCCGCACCGGCCAGAGCTGGCACCGGGGAGGCTCTGACATGGAGCCACACCGACCAAGAGGACAGCCAGTTGAACCGGCCAGCCACGGGAAAGCAGTCTGCTTCTGTCAAGATGTGCGGGCTTGGAAAGCCCTGTGGGACCGTTCTACTCAGTCCCACCTACAGGGCCACTGTGAGTCGGACTGGACTGGGTTTGGCTGGGCCAGGGATAGGAGCTCTAGTAGCACCACGGTTAAGACACTCCCAGGCCGGAGTGGTTTGAGCCCACCAGCCGCTCCTTGGGAGGAGCCAAGACTGTCTGCTTGTGTAAATAAAGAGGCTCGTCTCAGAAACCCATGGGGCCAGTTCCACTCTGTCCTGCAGGGGCGCCGTGAGGAAAGTGGACTCGGCGGCTGTGGCTTTGTGGACTCAGACATCAGACATGCAACACCGTCCCCCTCCCCTGTGGCCCAGCTGAGCCACGAAGGCTCTTTGGGATGTGACTGCCGGGACCCTGGCCACTCGGCTGACCGAGGCTGCATGTGGACCCTGTCCCATCATGTGGGTGGCTTGAATTTGCAAATGGAGATGGAAAGAAGATAGAGGCAACGAGGCACTGGGCTCAGAGCAGGGTGTGCCCCGCAGAGGTGACCGCCTTAGGTAGGACTGGCAAGCAGGACTCCCTCCACCCACCCACCCATCTCAGGGGCCAAAGCTCTCAGGCCACCAGCAGTTCCAGGGGGCTCTGTGGCATACTTGGGGTCCTTAATGAACTTGGAGGATGTGTTTGGGTCTCTGCAGAAGGACCCCCAGACCGACGTGAAGCCTGCCCTTCACCCACGCTGTCCACTGGCAAGACCCGGGGCAGGCAGACCCACCTGCATGCTCGCCGTGGTGATGCCCGTCGCTCAGGCCAGCATCGGCCTTGTAGATGCCACCTCCGCCGCCCGGGGGGTGGCCCAGCTCGGCGCCCGAGTCTGCGTCCCCGTGGCCCGGCTTCATGCTCTTTCTGCGGCGTGGCTGGTACTTGTAGTCGGGGTGATCTTTCTTGTGCTGCACACGCAGCCGCTCTGCCTCCTCCACAAACGGCCGCTTCTCCGTCTCACTCAGCAGCCTGCAGGCCAGTCCGGGCAGCAGTCAGGGTGGACCCAAGCCCACGGGCACCCAGGCCACCCTGAGCTCCAGCCAGTGGCTCACACTGGGAAGAGATGCAAACTAGCCAGTCTCTTGTCCCCCACCATCCCGCGGTACCACCAGCTCCCCTTCCTCTCCCCATCACCCCAGCTTGAGGGCTCAGCTTGAGGTTCCCGAGGGGCCCTTGCTGGGGGCAGGCAGCGGGCGGGCAGGGAGCCATGGGTGGGGCAGCTGCAGCCAGACCTTTAAGGCTCCCTGGCCACCTTCCTCTTCTGCCTTCCCTCTCTGAGGGTGTGTCTGCCTGTCCCACCCTTCGAGGGCTTTTGCTGGAGGACAGGGGTCACAGGGGCCAGACCCAACTGAGAAGTCTGCCCAGACAAAAGCGAAGCACCGCTCACTAGCAGGCAGCCAAAGTCAGCCCTCGAAGACAAGAACACTGGCAAACGCCCCTGCCCCTAGCTGAGGCTCAGACTCTTCCAGGAGCTTCACTCTAACTGCCTGTAGGACTGGGCATCTCAGGGTGCTGGGGGGAGGCACTGCCCTGGGGCTCTGCTCATCCTAGTCTAAGGATCTGCCATACAGGAGGCAGGGATGAGACCGGGTGTCCTTGGAAAGAGCTCTATGCTCCCAGTTCCAGTAGGCAGCCCAGTCCCAAACCCAGAGAGACCCACCTCCAGCCCAAGCAACGAGTCCCACGCGCTGGAGCCTGGACGCTGTGTCCAGCCCTTCGGCTGCTGACAATGCCCCACTTTCTGCTTCCAAGAGCACAAAACAAAACGCTGGACTGACGCTGCCGGAGTGTACCAAGTCCCAGCCCCTACACCCTCTTTCTGGGCCAACGCAGAAGAGCGGAGTGTGGAGACGGGGGACCCCCACGGCCTGCCTCCCTGAAAGCCCAAGAGCAGGCTCTTGCTCAGGAAGTGGACGCCCCCGGAGGGCAGTTCCCCCGACCTCTCCGCGGAGAGGTCCCGGCCCTACAGCCCCTCACAGCTCGAAGGACAGAGCACGTCCGGAGCCGCTAACCATCGGCGCCCAACAGCCGGGTCCCC